TTATGACATATTTGCTTTTTAGAAAATGGCTGGTATAGCTTATTTTTTTAAACCAAAAATAAGTGCTGCTGATTCGACAACACCATCATCGACAGAAAAACGTCCTGGTCGACGTTCAAAAACAATAAAATCATCAGAAACACCTTTAATCATAGAAAAACCTGTGGAATCAATGGAAACTGATGATAATGTAACAGAAACAAAAATCATCAATGAAGATCCATTGGATAATCCTCCAACACAAACACCAAAAATAAAATTAAAATTTAATTTACGTTCAAAATCTGTTCAAGATACATCAGATGATCCACATATTACAAATATAACTAATGAAACAAACGAATCATCTGATAATAATGATGATAATGATGAATCATCAGATAATGAAATACCTTTAAAAATTGATGATAATAATGTAACTTTTGAAGAACAAGATTCACCATTACCCATAAAAGAAGATGAATCACCCATGACTATTGTTTCACCAACGAAAAAAAAACAACAATCATCACGTAAAAAAGTTATTAGTCATTTAATTGGTACAACAGCAAATACACTTTCATTCGATGAACCAAGTCCAATTAAAATTCCATTTAATGATTCACAATTTAGTGAAGTTAAACAAACAAAATCAGGTCGAACTATTAAATATACTCCTTATTTCAAAGAACTTGTTCAAGGTGCAACTATATCACCACCGTCATCACCTGTTCATACAACATCACATTCAAAACGTCCATCAACATATACAAAAAAGAAACAATCATCAATTAAAGCAGATCTTGATGCAATTAAAAATGGTGGTTTACCAACAGCAGCTAATGCTAAAGGAAGAAAATCTGCTGGTTCACCAAAAAATAAAAAACAAACCACGTCACCTGTTAAACGTGTTGGACAAGGAAGAAAATCAGCCACACCAAAAAATGTTTCAAATGGTAAGATATATAATCTATTATATGAATAATAATTTGTTTTTTATTTAGCGAAATCCAAACGAGCATCGAATCAAATGGTTATGGATGAAGATGTTGAAAGTGATGATGAAAATGAACAATCTCAATTACGAAGTGATGATGAAGAATTTCGTAATTATTTGTTTTCATGACAATCATCATTTTATTTCATTTCATTTTTCGTTTAGGTCATGAAGGACAATCATCAGAAGAAGATGAAGAAGTTTTAGATGCTGACGAAGATCATTCAACAGAAGTCGATACTGATGAAGAAGAATGGACAACAGTTGGTATTAAACCTGAACATGATCGTTCATTAGGATTAACTACAACACTTGGTTCAATTTCAAGTGAAATGCTTGATGGTTTTAGTTTATGGGCTATGAAATATCGTGCACGTCATCGAACAATGACACTTGATGATAAACGTCTCTATCGTACATGGAAAAAAATGAGTGCACATGATCGACAACGTTGGTGTCTTAAAGCTGAAAAAGAAAATTATCATTATCCAATTACAGCTGAATTATTAAAAGCATCATCAACTGGTTCTGAACCAACAACATCTATATCGACAACAAAATCATCGAAGTCGACAAAACGTAAAAAAGGTACAGATGAACATCCACCAATACTTTTACAAAAAACATTGAATCAATATTCAAGACAACAACCATTAGTATCAGCTATTCGTCCACCAAATGCGTTTGTTAAACAACCAACAGTGGTTGCACCACCAAAAAATTATGATATTATTGATATAGCTGCAGGAATTTATTTACTTGGAGAATCATTAACAAAAATGGGTGAAAAAGTTCGACAATTAGGTCATCTCAATCCCCGTGGTACATCAGCAGCAACATCAATTGATAATCTTGCAGCTATACTTTTTGATGGAACATTATGTGCATGTAATTTAATGGCTTGCCTTGGAAATGAAATAACATCAACAAATCCATCAACATCAAAATCAGATCCATTAACAAATAAACTTATGGAAAATGTTGGAATTATTTTACCTGGACTTAATTAAATAAAATGTTTACTGTATAAAAGTTTTGTGCACATTTTTGTATATGAATATAAATAAAAGAACATGGCAAAAAAAAACATTCATATTATATATACATATATATAGAGTTTATATTTCAGATGCAACGAACAACAGTTATCCAACCAACTACAACAATTGATGAACTTGTTCAACAAGAAGAGAAAGCTAATGACAAAGCAATATGGGTTGTTTTTCGTAAAATGCTGGTTTTTACTGTTATGTTGACAGTTGCACCACTTTCATCATTTTTCCTGTCAAAATATTACATATTTGAAGGAATGTTTGATATGACAAATAGCAATAGTCATATGTATGCCGCATTTGTTGCTGTTGGTATTGTTCATGTTATATTAGCTGCATTTCTTTTCGTTGCATTTCGCGATGATACACCTGCTAAAAAAACAAAGCTCGAACTTTTAAAAGAAGCTGCCGGAAAAAAAGACTAAAATTATTTATTTTTATTTCTATGTATCGTGTTTTTAACAATAAAAAAATATTCCATTCTCTATTCGAAATATTTCCATATATTTAGAAATGTCAGATTGGGTCGAAAACATCTTATTCAATTTATGTTTTTAGATATGACTACACATCATATTGGTTTAGCTTTTGCTTTAATCGGAGATCTATTTCCGGATGGAACATCAAAAGAAGTTGCATCATATCTTAATCGTAAAGGTCCATTACCATTTGGTGCTATAGATCGTGCAATATTGACTGCTGAAAGATTGACCTCACGAA